CTAGTTCTTATGAATTTGATAAACTTGATTAAAGTAGAAAGTATATACACAGTTCTATTCTATGTTACTAGTTCTTATGAATTTGATAAACTTGATTAAAGTAGAAAGTATATACACAGTTCTATTCTATGTTACTAGTTCTTATGAATTTGATAAACTGGACTAAAGTAGAAAGTACATACATAGTTCTATTCTATGATACTAGTTCTTATGAATTTGATAAACTTGATTAAAGTAGAAAGTATATGCACAGTTCTATTCTATGTTACTAGTTCTTATGAATTTGATAAACTGGACTAAAGTAGAAAGTACACACACAATTCTATTCTATGTTACTAGTTCTTATGAGTTTGATAAACTTGATTAAAGTAGAAAGTACATACACAGTTCTATTCTATGTTACTAGTTCTTATGAATTTGATAAACTTGACTAAAGTAGAAAGTACACACACAGTTCTATTCTCTGTCACTAGTTCTTATGAATTTGATAAACTGGATTAAAGTAGAAAGTACATACACAGTTCTATTCTATGTTACTAGTTCTTATGAATTTGATAAACCTGACTAAAGAAGAACGTAAATACACAGTTCTATTCTATGTTACTAGTTCTTATGAATTTGATAAACCTGACTAAAGAAGAACGTAAATACACAGTTCTATTTTATTCATCTTATTTTCGAAAAAAAATATATAAAAACTAGTGTTGTAGATTAAATGGTACTAATACTATTCATTCTGTCAGATAGACACATTAGCAACATGAATTATTAAAACTGTATAACTTTTACATTGTATTTTAATTCTCGATTCATTTATTCAATATCTCTTGTGTAGAGGATTATTATAACATCTTTCAAATCAGTGTTATTTAACATAAACACTTACTTTCTGACAACGATGACATAACCTCGAACTAACCAGCTCTTTATGCTTGTTTGGAATATTATTATCGAGTTGTTTCCATCTCGAAGTTTTGATGAGACTGAATCCTAAATGGTCATCTGAGCGGTGGTCAAGAGACTGCTTCATCCACCCTTTTGTCTCCTGGTAGCTCGTCCTTCGTTGACAAAACTGACATTGGTCATCTGGCTAAAGATGAATTCACTTTGTACAATGTTTTTAAAATTAGACGTTTATTAAAACTATCGTAGAGCTCACCTAATAGTTGAAATCACTGAAGTAATGATTAGGTTTTCAATGTTTAATACTTTCTAAAACTTTTAGTCATTACATTAAATAAACATATGTTGAAGATCTGACAAGCTACTTTTTGATAACACTGTCTATTTCTAGACTATGTGATTAACATTTTAGACACTGATTTGAGGAACGAAAGCTAAGAACTTGATACGATTGTCATCAGTATTATACGCAAATATCAATTTACATAAACAGCTTGATAATCCTTACGTTGAAATGTACGACTTCACTCTGAACGACAGTTGTTGGACGGAATAAACAATTGACTGAATGCTCTAATGGTGTGTCATTATTTACCTTCTTCTGGAGTGGATCAAACTCTGTTATTGAAAGAGACAAACAAAAAACACGTTATCCACTCTGTCTTGAGTGAAACAAATATTATTACTGAAACAAACACACACAAACGCGTTATTCACCTT